CATTGTGTTTATCCATTCATCCATTAATGGACATTTGGGTCCCACTTTTACTTATTGTGAGTAATGTTGCTATGAACATTATGCAAACATCTTTTCATGTTCGTTGATCCTTTGCACATTTCTTTTGAAGAAACGTCTATTCAAATCACTTATCTATTTTTAAATTAAGTTGTTTGTCTTCAGTTGTTGAATCCATTCAGTTTTAAGAAAGAGAAATTTATTGTAATTGTCTTTGGATACTGGGATGGGTGGAGTGGTCTCCCAAAATCCCCGCCCTCATCCCCCCAACCTGTGAGCATGCTCGGGACACAGAGACAGGGCCTCAGCAGACGGATTAAGTCAAGGATCTTGAGATGGGATGATTATCCTGGATTCTCTGCATCAGCCCGATGGGTCCATACAAGAGGGAGGTAAGAGCACCAGAGCAGGAGAAGGGAACGTGGCAACGGAAGCTCAGGATGGAGTGACGTGCTTTGAAGATGTAGAAAGGGGCTGCGACAGGAGTCCTCTAAAGGCTGGAAAAGGCAAAGAAAGAGATTCTCCCATAGAGCTTCCACAAAGAAATATGGCCCTGCCACCATATGGGTTTTAGCCCTGTAAAACCCATTTCTGACCTCTGACCTCCAGAGCTGTAAGATCATCAATTAATCTTGTTTCAAGCCACTAGTTTTATGGTAATTTTTTTTACAACAGCAATTGGAAACCAGTACTGATCCAGTATTTTTGAAAACAAAAGGTTTATTTAAAAGTATAATAAAAGTTTAAAGCCTATTGGGAAATAGTGAGAGAATGATTTTAATAAGCTACACTCTAAGATAAGTACATTCTAAGGCCACTAAGCACCTCCAATGGGCATATGGTTACGATGACCCTGCAGACTGCTCTAGCAGCCATTCTAGTCGAAATGTATTATTTAGATGCAATAGTTTTCATTAACATACACGTGTGTAGAGAAACAGTAACGACTATGGAGAAACCCTATTAAGATAATGCCTTCTGAATTTTCTTGTACAATCTACTTAATGCTCAGTAGAGGTCAGTAATGGAGCATGGCAGAAAAAGAGGAAGCCATGAAAACAATAAATATGAAGAAACCAGGGACATACTAAGGTTCTTACGTATGATTCTCAAAATTAAGTTAGCGATATAACTTGGTCGAACACTATATATGAATATTTAAAACATTGTGCATACTTTTTGTTTGTTTTGTCATATTGATAGAAGCATAATTGATATTCGATAAAAGGTATCCCTTTTAAGTGAAGATTCAGTGGGTTTTGACAAATGTATGCATCCATGAACTACCACGTCAGTCAAGATACAGAACATACTTGTCACCCTCAGGAGTTTATCTGGGCCCCTCGTCAATTGTCCCCTGCTCGTATTCTCCAGCCCGGGGAACCGCTAATGTGCTTGTCAGAACTATGCATCAGATTTGTTCTTTTTAGTGTTCATATCGATGCAACGGTATTTTACCTTCAATTTTATATCTTAAATAACATTTTAAATGTGATAGGAGACCCATCCAATAAATTATGGTAAAATCCTATGTGAAATGTAGAGTAATATTTTGCTAGAAATAATTTCCTCTGAAATCTCACTTCAGGGTTTTATTAAAGTGTTTTTAAAAAATAGGTATATTTGTTTTGCTAGAATAGTTATTGTAATGTAAAGCATGGTTTTTATTCCCATAAGTTAATTACTATTTTAGAGGTTCTACTAATACTTTAGCGCTGGCTGGGTTGCTCAGCTGGTTGAAGCATCGTCCTGTCCACCAAAAGGCCGAGGGTTTTCTCCCCAGTCAGGGTGTATACATGGGCTGTGGGTTTGATTCCCAGCTGGGCTGTACAGAGGCAACCAATGGAAGCTCCTCTCTTTCCCGTGGATCTTTTTCTTTCCCCCTTTCTGTCTCTCTAAAATCAAGAAACATACCCTCGAGTGAGAATTGTTTTTGAAAAGTTCTACTAATATTTTAATGGGTTTAATATTTTTTCTTTTCACATTATGTTTCCTGATGAAGAAATCACTTGGTTACTTTACAATCCAACTTGGTGCTTATTTTTCAAGAGAATGGTCATGGTTGTTTACAGAGAAGATGAAGATTATAGGTACACAGAGCGGAACAGTTTGGGAAGCTCCCCAGCTAGGGTACGTGAAAAAGGTTACTAAACAAGCCCTGCATTTCCTAAAAGGCATTGCTTAAAAGTTAAGAAAAATACTCTAGTAATGGGCCAGCTATATGCTCTATTTTAGAAGTTCATGACAATGATGAAGAGGTAGAACATTTAAATGCGTGTACTGCCTGGATGCACATATTTCTCCTTGACATTTTCCAGCTTCAAGAAGTCTGGAATTTTGACTGTTGCTGTTTCCCGTGGTGCGTGGGCAATTGAATCTCAAGAAGGAGGTCACGTCGTGTCTCACATGGGGTATAATTGTGACTTCATTGTAGATTTCTTTCTCAGCAAAGTTTATCTTTGACCTCTGACTTTTTGGGGCTACCTTAATTTTAAAAAAGTACAGAATAAATGTGAAAGTATGCACAGGAACTCTTAGAACTGCTACCATTTTATCACTATTTGTAAGAGATTGTTATTCAGGGTACAGGATAGCAGCGGGTCAGCAGGATCCCTGAGCTGGGAATGACCAGTGCCAACACCATTCTAGAAAGTAATCACCAAAATATACCTAATTAACAGACCATGGAGAAGGGCCTTTTATGTGCTCGTCAAATAAACAGAGCTAACCCCTCGGGGCCCTCACAGAGAATTAAAGCCTCTTTCAGTAAACCGACACTTTTCAGAGATAATCTGAAAATGCCAGCTTCCAACAAAATGACTGTTTTCTTCATTAAATGCCAAAAATGCTGAAGTTGGGAAAAGCAGTGGAAATGGAGACAGAGATTGAAATAGACCACTGAGACACATGGGTGACCGAAGCGTCCAGGAATAAGTTTGCAATGCCCAAGTAGGTCAGCCTGGACCAAGGCCGTTTGAAGTGAGCACTCCACAAGAGTCCCTCATTCAGGTGTCAGCTGCACGCAGAGTCCCACTGTCTCCCTGTGGCCTGCTGGGGTTACACAGGGACTCCATAGGTGTGTGTGTAGACAGCCAAAGCCATCACTTCTCTTTGGGAACATTCCTGTTCCCAAATCTTCTTTCCGATGGTCTCTTCTCTGGTAGCCATCCCAGCAGGAGAGTGGATGAATGATTCATGCTTTTTGCCCCCTCCTTGGTAGTAGCTGTGCGAAGGGTTCTTCTGTTATCAGAAGAAATGTTCTAATGGAAGGACAAGGCTCTTTGACTAAACCTACAGTGGGAAAAACCATCCAGCCTACTGGGCCTCCCTACACAGCAACACCTTCACTTCTGTTGCTTTACATTTTTCATGAGCACTTTGAGCCACTGGGTGTTGCTCAGGACTCTCACGCACACCATTGAGAGGCAGTGCAGCGAGTGATTTTCACTGTGCTGTTCCATGGGTCCCAGGGTCCTGGGGGGCTTCTTAGCATCTGCACACTAGTTAAACTATACCAGCTGAGGCTGTTGCTTTTGTTTATTAGAGATCTGGTTAATAAATATTTAGATAAAAGGCATTTGCTCCTGAAAAAAATTTGAAAAACCAGATTAAAATGGATTCAAAGCCAGGATTTAAATCCTGACTCCATCATTATCTAGCTGTGTGGCTTTGCTTGATTTAAATCATTGAAGCTTCAAATTATCTGTCTGAAAAATAAGGGTAATTATGCCTTATAGGGTCACTAGGGGATAAGAGTTGATGATGAACATAAAACCCTTACTGCAAGGCCTGCCATATCGTCAGCACTCAATATTCAGTGGGGGCTGCTGATTGCCATTGTCATTATTTCAGCTCTAGTAATTCAGAAAGGCTCTGCAGTGGCTTTCAGCAGTCTGAGGTCACAGTGATCCTTGGATGCGGCTTTGGCACAGAGCACGCATTGTGCTCAGCGCCCTCTTTCTGGGAAGTTTGACCAAATATGGGCAGCAGAGAGGTACAGATCACAGCCTCTTCTCTGGTTCCGTCTTGGGGCAGTGAAAGGGGAGGAACACCCTCTCGTTTCTTCTTACTTCTTCCTCTTCTCCATGGCCCTCACTTACAACTTAATCAAAAATACTGTCCTTACAGAGAACATCAAAATTCTAGATCCAAGAAAAAGTAAAGATTGTACTTGAACTATGACTGTAGTGTATCCCTGCTAGTGCCTTCCTAAGCATTGTTTTACATTACTATCATGGTATGAAATGCTAGAATTTCAGTCAAAAGGGAATTATGTACTCTATCAGACACACGGACACACGGGGTGGGGGGGCACTGAGCCATGCCCTCCGCGTTCTTATTGACACAGAAGCACGTTGTCTCTTCAGGAAGATGACGGCCACCGAGTGACTCATACTTTTTCTGGGAAAACTTTCCACCTCTGTCACTCTTCTGGTGAGTGACAGTCCATTGATAAGGCTAAATTGAATGGTTAGTACTCAGTTTGGAGCCTAAATCCTGATCTTGGTTTGCAAGTGAATGGGAGGGAGCACTCGCCTGGAGACAGAGCTGGTTACCAAGGAAGAGCAGGAGGGATTTCCACTGTCACCTGCCACAAGGGACTGTGACTGTGAAGGATTAGACAGAAATGCAGCCCTACTCAGCAGCAGCAGCAGCAGCAGCGGCCAGTGGGGGGGGGGCAGGTTAGGGGTCACATTAATGCTGGAACTCTGGAATTCTGGAAGGGTTTTGTTGTTATTTTCCTCAGGGATCCCAACCAGATAATAAATATTTCCACTAAAAAGAACTTGAAATGAGTATTAGTTCCAAGATATCTAGACAGTTAATAAGAGAAGAAGGTCCCCATAAAAGCAGACTGTAGACCCAGGTCAAAGGGCATTTGGCTTGTAAAGATCACAGAGAGCCAAGTAAACAGACAAGGCTACTCCTGGGATAATAAGTAACGACGAAATCCAATATGGGCATCACACAGGTTACAGATTATGCTCTGTTAAGAGATTCCTAAAAGTCACTGTTGAGCATTTACAAATATAAAATCTAAGAATTTACTACAAATAGTAGTAAAAACCCTAATGAAACATAGAGAGAAGTTGTAGCTTTGTGTTCAAAATAATGTTCATGATTATGTTTCTATCATGTGAGTTATTATCCGCAGGTCCAATGCTTTTATTTCCTGAAGAAGCAGAGTCCTGGTAAAGTCCCAGGAATATGGTCAGGTTCAAGGAGAAGTGGGTGTATGTGAATAGGGTTAGTCCTCTGTGGGCTGTACCATGTGAGACCAGGAAGATGACCCAAGAAGCAGATTCATGGGGAAGAATTTCAAATAAAAAGGTAAGTAGACCATCCAACCAATTTATTTGTTAGAGAGAGCTAGATAAACAATTGGATCTAGGAATGAGGCAAAGGTGCAGAATCTAGGAAAATGGATGAAAGCAAATGGACTCCAAGTAGTGGCTGCCTGGGGGACCCTGAGGAACCCCCTGAACCTGAGAAAGCAGCCACAGCCCTGTTACGGAGGACCATCAGTGTCAAGCACTGCTGGTGGGAGGAGAGGCACCGCTGACCTGAAAATTATGGAGTGTTTCCAGAAACTAGGGTTGGGCAACTGACCTCCAACAAGGCAACAGCGATTTTTTAAAAAAAGTTTTCTTCACTTACAGTTGTCCCCATTTTCCTGCCACCACTTTCCCCTGCCCCAGCCGCCTCCCACCCTCAATCTTTTCCCCCTTTGGCCCTTCATACATGTTCCTTGATGACCCTTCCCCTTCTTTCCCTCATTATCCTCTTTTCCCTCCTCTCTGGTTACCGTCAGTTTGTTCTTTATTTCATGTCTCTGGTTCTATTTTTTTTCTTGTTTGTTTTGTTGATTAGGTTCCACTTATAGGTGAGATCATATGGTATTTGTCTTTCACCACCTGGCTTATTTCACTCAGCATAATGCTTTCCAGTTCCATTCATGCTGTCGAAAAGGGTAGGAGCTCCTTCTTTCTTTCTGCTGCATAGTATTCCACTGTGTAAATGTACCACCGTTTTTTTTATCCTCTCATTTACTGATGGGCACCTAGGTTGCTCCAGCACTTGGTTATTGTAAATTGTGCTGCTATGAACACAGGGGTATGTAGGTTCTTTTGAGTTGGTGTTTCAAGGTTCTTAGGCTATAATCCCAGCAACAGTGATTGACTATTTCTCACAACCCTGTTGGGTTCCAATGTGGGAGTTTCCTCTGTTGACTGTGGGTGGCTTGGCTGGGGCTGAAATGTCCAAGCTGGCCTCACTCATATGTCTGGGAGTTGGTGCTGGCTGTTGAGCAGGCAAGCCTGGCTCTCCTCCATGTGGCCTCTTATCCTCCAGCAGGCTAAACCCAGCTTCTTCACAAGGTACTGGCTTTAGGCTCCCAAGAGAACAAGAGCAGAATCTGCAAAATCTTTTAAGAACTGGGCTTTGTAATCGACGGGATGTGTCTTTCCTTATTATTCTTTTATTGGTTAAAGAAACATACAGAAGCAGACCACATTCAAGGAAGATAGAGAAATGGGCTCTACCTTCTGATGGGAAGAGAAGCAGCAGAGCATTGTAAAGGACTGTGGGCTCGGGGGAATACAACTTATTGGGGACCATCATTATAATAAGCTAATGCATAGAGGATTTGTTTCAATAGGCTTATTTCTTTGCTGGATATACAGTATGTTACACAGATAGTCCCAATTCTTTCTTCTTGTTTTTTTTGATATCACATAAGTTTTCCAAAATGCATTCAGTAAGTATTTATTAGGCACCTATTGTATTCTTGTCATTGTGCTGGGTGCTGGGAATATGATGATACTAAGGCCCATCACTGTCTTTAAGGAATATTCTCTTTTCTTACCTATAAAATCACAGGAAGAGTACACAAGTGAGGGAGGAAGGGGGAGAAAGACAACAGGACAGAGTGTGGTAGGAAGGATGGCAGTGAAAAGCCTGTGACATGGTAAGGTAGGTTGGAAAGGAAACAGGATTACATTTTTACAGATTTTCAAAAACTCCTTGTAAGGGAGGATTTTGTTCTTCCAGACACAACAATTTTTCTTTTCAATTCCCAGGAATAATTGACGTAAAAGAAAGAAAAGGTCAGTGCTGGGAGGTCTTGGTTCTAGTGGGAAAGAGTTTAATGTTCTGATGTATCTCCTGGGACGACTTAGAACTATGATAAACCACATGTGGAGCACCCATGTCATTTGACAAACTCAGAGTTCGTGCCAAACCAGTCCACCCAAGCAACTGTGCCTTAGGCCTGCACTCCAGGAGCAATCTCAGACGCAGGTGCAGCCATGGTTGTTTCTGAGGAGGGTGGCGAGGGAAGAGCCTCCTGCTCTGGCAAATCTCATTGGTGCAAACGTGCCATCTGTCACTTGTCTGGCCCACATCATCCGGTCAAGTATGCCAGCATGCGTGAAATACAGAAAACAGAGCCCAGTTCTGTTCACTCCTTTGTGAAGCAGATACGGCTGGCAGGGTGCCACCCACTCAACTATGGACCACCAGGCAAATCTCACAGTCTCTCAAATCTCATGCCTTATGTTGTGTAAAGAAGTCTCAGAAAATGTACTGTCAGCTGGCACATTGGATGTCTAAGTGGGTTTATTATTTTTTATGATATTCAAACTTCAATTATAATAATCTAAATAACTTTGTGATTCCCTAAGACTTAATTGTGGAAATATTAAAATTTCTGGACTTCCTTTGGGAATTCTCCCAATATTTTTCAGAGCCAATGGAGAACAAATACCTTCATTATAGGTGCTCAGACTGTCTATTGTACTGAATTATTTGAGAAGTACCCAGCACATTTCTTGATTGACATATGCTCTCACGTGCCCTGATCTGATGTCAAGATGGGTTTGAGTGGGTGCCCATCTCCTATGAAATAGTGACTGCACTTTCCACAGCCTTTCAGAACATCTGCCAGTGCTACCCAAACAAATCCTGGTCTAATTAGGCCGTTCTAATGTAAATGTTTAATAGAGACATGGGATTCTTGTCTGATTACTTTGCTGCTACAGGAAAACAGGACCTAATTTCACATTAAGCCTGAAATTAGTAAATAGGCCTCTTTTGTTAGGGTAAACAAAACCCCTTGCATTTTGATTATGACTTGTATTCAGAATTGAAATTAAATAAGCTAGAAAATCATAACTTTACTTTTGGGTGGCACACTGAGTCAATCTCATGCACACTGTTCAAAAAGTAAATTTAAATCACAATGTACTCTAGTTGACTTAATGAGAGAGCCGTAACTGTGTCTGTTTGGATTGGGACCTCTTACTCCTTCCAGCTTACTTATTTATACTTGCTTGTTTATTGATTTATTTAGATGCACTTGTGGGTAATGTGAGTGGATACTAGATAACCTACGTATTTTATTTATTTAAGAGATCAATGTTGTAAATAATATACCCTGATATTCATCTTCATGGGGCCTCCCCATATGGAACAAAAAGACCCTCCATCTCTTATTTTCACATAAGAGAAGTTTGGCCACATTAGTTTCTCCAAGTTCTTGAACATTTATCATAGGTGCTGCTATAAGGACTGTTTTTGATGACCAGAGAAGCTCTCTTCTCAAGTCTCTGGGGGTTGCAGCCTGCGGGTGGAGCAGGGTGGCTGTCCAGTTCCGCAGTGCTGCCTGGTAATCACCACGAGGAACCGACCGAGGTACAGTGGGTGGGAGAGATGGATATAGAGAGAACACCAAGAACTGAGAGATTCGTGTTGTACGTTGAAATTTCCAAGAATTACGTCACAACAGAGTTTCTGTTCTAGGTGACAATGATAGTGATTGTGATACTACAGCCACTGAGAAATGTAGGGGCAGTGACCAAGAGGTCCACAGGTGACAGGAAAAATGAGGAGTTAAAAGTGGTATTATTTTACGATATGATCTTCAAACCTGGGAGGCTTTGGAGAACAGAGAAAGAATAATTTAAAAGTGAGAAGGAGGGTATGTGCTCCACCTCTGAGTGGAACAGCACCACAATGGTGGGAGACAAGCAGTCATTTCTTGAAAGTATTACAAGGAAAGTGGTATCATCAGGGGAGCCCCAGGCTTCTGTTCTACAAAGAAGGTAAACAAGATTTATGAATAAGGCTGAGAATATGGAAGAGTTTACTGATGTCTGATGGTGAGTTCTGAAGGGCACAAAGGAAGGATTTCTGGAATTGGAGATGGAGAGAAGTGAGAGAATGAGAAAGAAAAGGGACAGTGTGGAGTCATACGGGGACTGGAGACTGGAGGATGGATGAGGGGTTACTGGGAGTCCAGGGCTTCTAGTCATGACTGGTAAAGAGGTAAAAAAGGCATAACCTGTGTAATGAGTTTAGTTCCCATGGATAATCAAGGCAGAGTTGTGTACTGACAGATTTTAAAAAGGTGCCTTTCAGGAGCTTCCTCTGTGTTCACGTTGAGGGGGTACAAGATCTAAAGAAGGAGGGCCTGACCCACTTGTAATTTTTGTTGATGAAGAAGAAAATGTGTATCTTCTATCTTGATCCCTATAGTTGGAAGGGAAACTTCTGGGGAATCCAGATGTACTCCACACAACCAGAACTTTCTATGACTGATGATGAGGATTGAAGTCTTAGGTAGGTATGGCTTTGTGTCCTGTGCCCTGGTTCATTTAAGACTCTGCAATACTATGTTATACAGCTAGAACTGTCCAGGATTTGAGTTATTCTTTGAATTCACAGGTGCATAGAATACTTAAAGTGTGAAGAATCTAAGGAAACTTTACAGTTAGGATACTTTCTTTGACCATACCATATTTTGAACTCATCTCTTTCTTTGTAGGAAGGATTCATACATATGAAGGTTAAGAGATATACAAGGACATAAAAATTGTGAAGAATTAGGTGGAAAATTTTATGTATCTTACATTTTAAATAATAGCTTTATTGACATATAATGCACATACCAAAAAAATTCAGCCATCGAAAGTATAAAATTTGTTCATTAGTGCATATGATGTGTAGTAATATTTAAAATAATAAAGAGCTATGCAGTGATCAACATTACCTACTATTAGGACATTTTCATCAATGCCAAAGTCAGCTGTTAATCTTATCAGGAATACCTTGTATTGTGATAAGTTGTTTTTCTTTTCTTACTTTCAAGGTTTTTTTCTCTTCTTGGTTTGGATAGTTTGATTATGATGTGTCTATGTATGGATTTCTTTAAGATTATTCTCTTATGAGTTCATTAACCTGATTAAATTTATAGATAAAAGTATTTACCAAATTTGCAATACTTTTAGCCACTATATTTTCAATTATTGCTTTCTGGCCTTTCCCACCTCTCTTTCTCATTTTGGTACTCCCATTGTGCATATGTTGGAATGCTCTGTTCCTTCTTTTTTAAATTATTTTTTTAATGTCCTTTAATACAGACTGGGTGCTTAATATAGACTAGGTCTATATTAAAGTTTACTTGGTTCTTTCTTTGACAGCTTGCACATGCCCTTGAGACTCTTGAAAAACTTCTCATTTCAATTATTATACATTTCTACTCTAGTATTGCTATTTGTTTACTTTTTAAAAATAATTTCTATGCCTTTATTGATGTTTTCTATCTCGTGAGACATCATTCTCATACTTCCTTATAATTCTTTAGAAATAGCTCCCTTTAGTCTTTAACCAAATTTTTAATAGCTGCTATATTTATTTGTCTAATAAGTCTAACATTTGGGTGTCCTAGCAGAATATTTTGTTGACTGCATTTTCCCCCACCCCCTTCCCTTGTATAAGGGCTATAGTTTCTTGTTTCTTTGCATGTATTATAATATTCTTTTAAAAACTTGGCATTTGAAATAACATGTGGCAGTTCTGGAAATGTGACCCCTCTCTTACCAATTGCTTTTTGTTACCATTGTTGGTTTAGTGACTCTTGGTTAGTTCTGCAGTGTTTGTCATCTCTGTGCTTGGTTGACTTAGTGGCCAGCTAATGATTGAACAGGAAAGCCCTTAAAAGCTTTGACCCAGTAAGTTTCCTTTGTCAAGGGAATTTGTGTGTGTTAGAGAATACCTTAAATGACAGTTTGTAACTGTGCCTTAGCTTTCACTCCTATTTTTAAAGGGCCTCAAGATCAGCCACACTGGAGATATTAGAGTTTCTCATGTCCTTTCTTGATGTACACACAGCTTTACACATGCATGTGGCTTTCCAAACTCTCATGAACATGTAAGAGCTTTTCAAAGACCTCTAAAGACATTTCTTTTTTAAATGTTATTTTAATTGTTGTTCAAGTATAGTTTTCTGTCTTTTATTCCCATCCCAGCCCACACATTCATCCCTCTTCACCTCCCTCCCATTTCCACCTCCCTAGTTTTTGTCCACGTGTCCATTATATTTATTCCTGTAAACCCTACCACTTTCCCTCTGAAATTCCCTCCCCTCTCCCCTCTGGTCACTGTCAGCCTGTTCTCTACTTCAGTGAGGACATTTCATTTTTAAGACTTCTTTTATGGTTTTAGCCCATCCCCTTTTATTTTTAATTTTGAGCTATAATTTTAAAAGAATTTTTGTCTAATAAAATATAAAAATATGTTTTTCTTTTGGAGTTTTCCCCCACACAGAAGCCATTCAAATAATGTGTTGATGTTATTGTAGACATATTTAATTACGCCAAGTATGTATTGATGATTAAAATCATTTAAATATTAGCTTTTTACTTATTTGTCTCTACTGATAAGTCTTTAGAGGCAGAACTATATCTTGTTTACCATTTTATTCACAGTAAGCTAGCACTGTGGTTGACACATAGAATTCGGTCAGTAAACACATCAAGGCAAATTTGAGGACAGGACAATTTATTTAAGTAAACATGAATGACTGTCTCTTTAAGAAATGTCTAAATATCCTAATTCTATCATGCTTAGTGATAACAATGAGAAAAAACAGCCTTTGTCATTTCTATAAAATAAATCTCAACTAAAATATGTGATATTTCAAACCAGTACTCACATACCCTTTATATTTTAGCATCCATTGTTATTATAATATACTCCTGTGCACCTTGGAAGTATCGACCACAGCTGACCAAGAAGAAATGACTTCTTAGTCAGCTGTGATCGATTTAAAACCATCAACTGTCAGAGGACTAAATGTTTATGGGACTCATCTGTCACTAATCTTGTGTACAAACATTTCTTGTTGCCTTTGTCAAGAACATGTCTTGCGGCTTCAGGTATAAATGTTTTAAAATTTGCATTTTATGCTTTGCCATTCTTCAAATAAAAAATACTGTGTGACAAACAATAATGCATTTTTGTTACAGCACATGGCACATGTCTGATGATGTTCTGCAAATGAAATAAATGGGCTTTCCAGATCGTCTTTGTAAAACCCCAATTTTACTTTTTTGCTGATTCAGAATATGTGTCTGTGTTATGTTCATGATGGATGTCAAAAACCTTACAAAACAGCCTGTGTATGAACCTCAAGAAAAGAGTGATGTAAAGTTTCGTACTTTTCTTCTAATCAAGTGACTGCTTAAACTTTAGGGGGAATCTGAACGGGGATTTGCATGGAAGGCATTTCTCATGATGAAAAACTCTGGAACTCTGGGAAGACATACTTTCTTTGGTGCTAATATATTTGAAAGATATTTTTGAGTCTAGGTTTAGATTGATGGAAAATAAATATACACATATATATAATATCAAGAAGCTAAATATCTCATTTAGATTCATAGCAGAATAATCTGTCCTATCTTAGTGGAAACAGCATGGAAAAAACTGTTTTCTAAATGTTCTTCACTCCCTTAAAACCTTCTAGACTTTAAAATTAAAGTCATAGAATTTCTTTAATATGACCCAAATTCAGTGTTTTCAATAAATTTTGTGAAGTATAAGCTGGAATGTCTTCCTAATGTACTGGGGATATGATACTTGGATCTCGAGAGTGTAAAATGAGAGAAGAAATTAAAGTGTAGAGTGGGTACTTTGCTCCATCAAAAGGAAAGCATACTATTAGCAGTAATATGTTTAATTTCTTTCTGGATAAAACTTTATACCATTATCAAAGCAGACCATGACTTAATAGCATTCAAAATAGATGGTTATTTACATTGGGAAAATAAACAGTTGTTTAACCTCATTAAATAAACAATTGGTTGCCCTGGCCAGGTTGCTCAGCTGGTTGGAATGTCATCCTATACACAAGATTTCAGGTTCAATTCCCTGTCAGCGCACATGCCTAGATTATGGGTTCAATCCCCAGTCGAGGTACATACAAAAGGCAACTGGTCAATGTTTCTCTCTTACACCCATGTTTCTCTGTCTCTCCCTTCTTCTCTCTAAAAATCAATGAACATATCCTTGGGTGAGTGTTTAAAAAGTTTGGTTGCTGGTTTATTTAATTTTTCAGTTGATTGTGATGACATTATATAATCCAAGCATGATTATCTAAGTCACTGGGAAAATATTCACTAGGAAAGTCACTAGGAAAGAAAAAAAAAGTTAATGTTCAAAGCCTTCATTTACCAAGTGATACCATGGATGTGAAGGAACATGCCTTGGATAGGGCACTGATTTACTTCTTTTTTTTCCAGCTCCCTTATTTAGTGGCTTCTGTGCTGAAGGTTCAAGTTAGCAGCAAAGAGTAGTGAGACACAAAGACTTGGCTGCTATCTAGGTGTATAATATCGGGCAAGTCACTCAACCTCCATACTCTTAGTTTATCTATTAAATAATAATAGTGGTTGCCTCCCAGAGTGGGTATGAGGGTTAAATGAAATAATATTTGTCAAATACTGTGAAAAGTATCTGGTATACAAGTTATGTGATAAGTTATATGTGTTTTTCAAATTTATTATTAGTAAATAATTTTACTAGATACAACATTTTAGAGGTTTTAAGAATGATTTATTAGTTATAATTGATAAATATCTTTATGTATTATTTTTATTTCAATCACTTGTTCATTGTTGATTTAGAAAGTAAATACTTTTTTTTTTAGCTCTTCTGAGTCTTTTTCAGAATGGAAGCATCTGGGACATTTTCACCAAATTACTCATCAGAGGGTCCATTAGCATTAGTTGAACTAATGGCTACTTGCATCATTAACTTAAATCAACTAATGGGCAACAGCAATTTCCTCAGCCATTTTTTTAAGGGTGAGGTTTTTTTCTGGCTTGGACACTTTTTTGGACTAGTCGAGTCACAGAGGATTTCTTTCTCTCCTTATATATTTAAAAATCTTCATAAATACTTACACATTTTTTTTTCACTAGATTCAGTGCACACCTTTTAAAAGCCTCAAAGTCACTGCTCAGAAGACAAAACAGAGAAAACTGATTGCCAGTGGCGGCAGACGGAGAATTGCGTGAGCAGTGCTTTTCTGATGGTTTGTGGTGAAGGACCAGCTTTTGCTTTGTTTTTAAACTTCCACCCTGCGGCCAACCAGCGCTTTTATAAAATACAGTAAAATTGAACTTCTAAGAAAAATGATCATGCCATTGGATGACATAGTAATCTCAAACTGCTATAAAAGTTTCTGAGCAACTACTCATAAATCCTATATATCTGTCGAAATGCAGTGCCAACAAGCATCCTGTGGGCTGGCGCCTGGGGTGGTAGCACTGAAGACACAGTGTGCTTCGTTTATGAGAATTATTTTAGGCATGTCTGTGAGGGTTATTTTAGGGTATTGAACTTGGTTTCTCAAATGAGTGCAACAAATGTCTGTCATCCTTTACAGAGTTGGTTTTATAAAATGACTTATTTCTCATCTAATGTTTAATGTTTAATTTGGACTCTCATCTACAGTAACTGAAAACAGATCAGTATTTGCCTGTAACCTGGTATCAGAGGGTGTTGACTGCAAAGGGTCATGCGAAATGTAGACATTCTTGTCTAAAATATCTTGAAATAACCTGAGGGACAACTTTCTGGCTTAGAATTAGAGAAGTTAATTAGGACAAATGTTCTTATTAATTTGGAAACAAAGATGAGTTATTTGAAGATCTAAAAGTAGACACACACCTTTGGGAAAGCATTTATGGATTGGTTGAGTTAAGTATCCAGTAAAGAGGATAAGTATTTTATAAAAAGTGTTTTAAGATATGAGGAATTAAATTGAGTATGTATGAAGTATGAAGGTGCAAAGAAACCAAAAGTAATGGACGCTTCATGTCGTATGAGAAAAAAACAACCAAGAGCTACAAACAAATAAGTAAAATTAATGGAATACATTCTCCTTTTCTGTTTTTGAAGCCAGGATGATTTCGCATGGTGTGATGTTATAGACTGCTCTGCCTAGTTTAAGGAATTGTATCTCTACCCCTTGTGGCTAAGGGCGAGAGACGACCTTTGGAATGCCAGCCGCAGGAGACAAAGCCTGTCTCTTGTAGCAAACGCTGCCTCAGTTCCTCTCCCTGTCCCCAGAGCTTGGTCAGAAGTCAATGATAAGTAAGACCCCTCACAGTGGGGGGGCAACCTAAGCCAGACTCGATCACCTGGGAGGCCTTCATGGAAGGACTTGGGGGGCTGCAGCAAAGAGCAATGAACTCTCACCGCCCAGCTTTGACAAAGCCCGAGTCCCCATGTACTCTGGGAGAGGCGCTTCCTGGCTCTAATCCCCTTAAGCCTGAATACCTGTTGGGGAGGGGTGCAGCTCCTGATCTTGCTAGAGTATGTCCTGGGGGAAAATCTGGCACCACAAAGACATGCTGATAAACCTGTGAAATCTACTCTGGTAAGAGTGCTTTAATTCATATGATAAAGGTCTGAGAGGAAATGAGTATGTCTCCCAAAGTTTCTGCAACTCTCTTCCTGACAGACACTCACTCAGACTGAAACCCTCAGACTTCTTTGTAATGTTATCTACTGTTTGATCCTTGCCGCCCTGTATTCCAGTGTATTACAACCCAATAAAAGGCTATGGAAGAGGGCGCTCGGGGCCTTTTTCTCCTTGGAGAAACTGGCTGCTGCTAGCCTCTGTCTCCCCTGAGAAACTGGCCGCAGCCCACAAACAGATCTCATCTTGTCTCGGCCATATTTATTCACTCACGCATGTCTGTGGCACCGGGGGGACCTCGCGAAAGTAGTCGCCCCCGCAGTGTGACATTCCACACGCAGTCTCAGAGGGCTTCCAACTAGAAGAGGTTATCTGCCAGCACAGAAAATGGCAAAGAACACATAACTGGTAAAACAGTAAGAAACTCTATGTCAAAAGAAAACAGAAAAATGTGAACTGAGTTTGGGCTAAGAAAGAGAATTCTAGAAGAAGGAGGAGGAGGAGGAAAAGAAAGGGAATTATGTACCTGTTTCTGCCTTTTACTTTACTTGAAGAACATGTGTTTGTCCTCACAGCCTCAGGAAGGAAAGACTGCCCATTTCTTGGAAAGGGGATGGTCCTGGTGGATGTCCACATTGGTCCTGGTGATGGCAGCAATGCAGCTGGTGGTCGGGTAGCAGTGGAAAGGCTTAAAAACTGAAATATTATCGTTCTGCTCTTGTACAACAGATCCAAGACTGTTGCAGACCCTGGCCGGCAGAGTCTGCTTATGGTGGTATACAATGAGAATCAATGCACAGGTGACAACAACCCTGTGTGGAAAAAGGGAACAGGCACTACTACTCTCTCAAGGGGAGAGTGCCTATGGGTGCCTCGGCCACTCCCTCAAGAGGGGAGCGCCCCGACCCTTGCCTAGACAGGCTTTTATTGTCTTCCTTGGGTCTTACATCAAAGAAAGATTATCTATCACACAGAGCATTATTATCTACATTCTAGGTGCAATCAAGGAAATAGAAGTAGCATGCAAAGGGGGATGGCAATGAGCTCATTAGCTCTGTCCTTGGGAGAGCTCACATGTCTTTTGGGAGTTACCTTGAGGATAAACAATATACATCTGTTGCTTTAGACCAGGGTAAGAGAGTATTAGTAAGAGCAAACCATAAGAGTCTGTAAGTATTTTCTAGGCCTGATTCCCACGGGAAAACTCAGTTTGAAGATCTGGCTCCTGCCTACCACTTCGCATCTGCAGGTTTTCCATACAGAGCCGAGTCACATTTGCCAGGCCAAGACAAACTGGTCCCCTACACAAGACCAGTGGAGTGATTGAGGAAAGAAGTGTGGCCCCTGCAAACCAATTCAAACCGTGCTCCTTGGCTCTGTAAACTGTCTTTCTCTTTCCTTTTATCGGAAGCAAAGGCTGAACTGGAAAATATCTAAGATTTCTTTTAGGTTTGTGTTTCTGTGCTAATAATAAAGCTTACTAAGGGGGAATTCTTTTTCTGGAACACATTTTTACCTTGTTTAAAAAAAACCAAAATGCTGTTTCTCAAACAAAACTGCTACCTTTTTGTTCTCATTTGGTATTTTTGGACTTGACACTTACATGCTTCAAGCAGCAGGGGTCAGACAAAGAATAGTTGTGTTTTTCCAGTCAAGCTGAAACTTCAGTCGGTATTCCCTCACTTGGTGTAAAGATTCTAATATAAGCTGTATTATATGTACTGTGGAAATTTAGACACAAGGCTTTTTTAGAAAATAAAGTCTTCTGAATTCTCATGTTTATGGATGCAACATACATTCACAATTTGTTCATAATGAAAAATATTTCTCAATGGTTAAAAATTAACATGGTAAAAATGTACTTTTAATATTTATACCATAGTGTTTTC